GACACTCACTCTGGGACGGAGGTGGGGGGGAGGCTGAGCAGGGTCTCTGTCACAGAGGAATCTTCAGTCACATTCACAGCCTCCGCAGACACGTTTCCTGCAGGGAGAGCGTGACTTTAATACTCGGGGGGGGGGGTTAGCAGGGTAATGATGGCGGGATAGCAGGAAGCATGGGGGGCCTCGTACCATCCTGAGCGCCGTTGCCCCCCAACACGTTGACCGCAAGGTTGTTCACCATATTCAGGATGGCATCTACAGCAAAAAACACACACAGATACACACAGTGAAAAGCCACATGGAGACAATCAGCCCCCAGTGTCTACAGGGTTAAGTTACATTTTGCTGCAATGCTTTAACGGTGCCCCCTACAGGTTTACAGGGAAACTGACCTTTAATTTAATCATTAATATCACTCGCTGTGTGTAACCAGTGGACTCTATTAGAGGATCCATGTGGAGGAAGGGGGACACATTTAAAGTGTAAAACGCCCCCGAACTCGTACCTGTGGCAGAGTCGATGAGGTTCTTGGAGGATTTGTCATCCACGGGTACGTAGCCGGGAAGGAAATCTGTGAGGGAGAGAGAGCAAGAGACGGATGAGGGCATTAAATGACCGACTGCTCGCTCTCAGGCACGCTCGGGCCACCGTCCGACCAGCTCACCATAATCCTCATCCAGATCCTCGGATCGGTCGGAGGGGAACTGCGACTCAGAAATCTCCTCGTATTCCTCTACCATGCTGGTCCCAAACACCCTGCGGAGTCCAATCACCATCCAGCATGTCAGCTTCACCATCATTTAAAGCATAAATCTTTCACTGAGGGCATTTGTTACACATCTGCGCATTTAACCTGGCCTAGAATACTGCAAAATATCATTGAAAATGCACAATGACGACACAGTGAGATAACGAGCCGCAAAGGTGCTCACAGACACGGTACCTGATCAGGCTGAGGGGGCAGAAATGTTCAGACCCAAAATGGGACAGCAGTTCCACCTACAGGGGGCGCAGTTTTTAAGAAACAGATTAAGAAAAGGTTCTATCACAACGGAAACATGTATCGGTTTAAAAATAGCTGGGAGTGAAAATGACAGTTACGCCACGAGAGCGCTAACCTTGATGTACTTGATGAACGTCTGAAGCGATGGAACGGGGGAGAAGAGGAAAAAAGTGAGCGTGGAGGCCAGCTTCATGCCAAGAGCAACTTAGCCAGAGATTAAATCAGCCAGAGATTAAAAAAGCACTCAGATAACCTAGAAACATGGGGGGGGGGCTAAAAGGGGGTCAGTAAGAGGGGCACGCCAGAGGGTTGGGGCGAATCAGGCACGTTCCACATGCAAGCCTGACTGCCTGTCTGCATGAAATGGCTACTGGCAGAGTTTTGCAGCATCTTAGTCCAGTTCCAGAGCACTGAAGTTCTCTACTGACTACAGATCAAGAGACAGGAAGTTAGAAACGACAGGGCATGCGAGAGGGCATGCTTGGGGGGGGGCATGCTCCAAAGGGGGCCTCTTCTAGAGCTTGGGGGGTTCACATGACTACCACCTGCTGGTGTTTCTAATGAAAGTCTGTATGTTGGGCTGTTGTTCGCAAACCCTAGGCTGAAGGATTGCTGAGATTTTGCAGACCTTAACTGCACTATGAGAATCACCCAGTAAATAAAGGTGACAAGCTCCTTACTGATGGCTGTGCTGGAAAATTTCTTAGGAATCGATCAACGCTCTGATCAGCTCTGGCAGACTGTCCTTGGAATCTCCCATGATGCATCGGGGCTGGCCCTACCTTGACATATTTGGCGTAGAGCTGCTCGTCCAGCGGGAAGCTCTGCACCGTGCGTTTGTCCTGGGCGTGGAAGGTGCCCAGTTTCATCCACTTATTGGTCGGGTACCTGGCAGAGGAAGATGGAGGAAGAGAAGGCTAAGCGGCCCGCAGCTTCGCTGGATACAGAGATAAGGTGTGTCGGAGACAGACTGTGGCTAACCGGTCGCTGATGGACACCAGGAAGTCCTTGGGCGTGGAAGAGAACAGCTCAAAGTTGGCGATGTCCAGCTGCTTCACCTGGATGGGTTCGCACAGCTCGATGACAAACCTGGGAGGAGGAAGCAGCTGGTAAATGGCTCAGGAGCCTCCAGAGGTCACGTTCCTGAGCACAGGTACCATACCCTCAGCTCAGGACAGCAAAGCACATCTCAACACGCTCGCCAACACAGACCGGTAATCAAAACATGAGAAAAAATATAAAATAAAAAATAATATACAGTAAACTGAAAAGAATATACAAGAAAACAGATGCAAGAAAACAAGCTTCTGACCGTCCCAGAAATGGGATGGAGCTTCTGTGAATTGCACTTTCTCCAAAGGTTACTGTTGACTTTGGAGTCTACCATGACATACAGAAGAGTGTGAACTCACCAGATCTTGTTGCTGCAGGGGTTGAGCATGTAGAGGTCCATGTTCTCCATGAGAATCGCCGAGGTGCTCTGAAAAGCACAGACCTTCTCACCAACCGTTTGACATGAGAGCGACTGTCTCCTCCCTTAACACGGCTACTCCTAGACACATCAAGCCTTTAAGAATGACTGGGTTTGCGGGTGTATCGAAGATGGCTTTCAGGAACAAACAGATCTGAGGCATATTCTGGATGGTGACATGAACTATCCATCTTCCAAATGCCTCCATGTGAGAGTTTCAGGGGGTTTGGAGACCTTCAGAGTGCACTGGCCACAGGGCTGGGAGACACCCTGGATGGAATGCCAGTCCATCGCATGGCAGACACACACAGCCATAGTCATAAGCTCTATAATCTTAAGACGGTTCCCGAAGGTCAGCAGTGGTACCTTGGCCTCAGTGTTCGCTGCCAGGATTTTGGCCCCACATTCCACCGATGCATAGTTATTAAAGTTCTGCACCTTCTTCATGACGACAGGGCTGCCATTGGAGGATGACGAGTGGGCAGACTGGCCTATCAGAGGAAGAGGCGGATCTCACAGAAGGCAAACACCTGACGGGTGAGGGTGACTTCTCACCCCAAGCCTTCACAGATTAAATTTTGATTCACCATGTGTGACTTCTGCTCCCCACATTCCTCCTCATCATCATCATCATCATCATCATCATCATCAGCACAACTCACAGTGCGTTAGATCTGCATCTATCAGGGCGCCCCCATCAGGAAAGGTGACTCACTTTTCTCCTTCTCCACCTCCATCATCTTCTTCTTCCACTCGTCAAAGGTGGGGATGTCCCCATGGTCTTTGCCAGGGATGGATGGGTCCTCCTTGCCACTGGGAGTGTCGACGCCCTGTCATCAGGGGCAGAAGCAAAAACCCTGTGAGCAGCAAACTCACCAGGTGACCTACAACCCGTGCCCTATGACAGACCTGTTAACCAATGAGCAGCTCCCGCAGAGGCTAATGGACACATGGCTGGCCTGTAGATCACAGTGACCAGAGTCTCCAGACGTACAACTGACAGAATGAGCAGCTCAGTCCATGTGAAGCAGGCAGTGATATTTACATGACATGTGTCATTCCATGTCAAATCATCACACTTTCGGACCTCATCGTCACGGATTTTA